AACTTTTACTCAATCATATCTTGTCACATAATATTATATGAGAAATGTTGTATGAGAATGATGTATTTGTAGTATTATTATATTGCTAGTATACTACTACACATAACATCTTTTCATACACATTTCTCATACACACATTTTTTTTTTTTTTTTTTTTTTTTTTGTGTTTTTTTTTTTTTTTTTTTTTTTTTTGTGGCAAGATATAATTGACTAATTTAAGTTAAAATTAAACTTTCACCCAATCATATCTTGTCACATAATATATATGAGAAATATTTATGAGAATGATGTATTTGTAGTATTGTTATAGACCCTCACTTTTACTTACAACATTTCTCATACAACATTATGTGGCAAGTATGATTGGCTAATTTAAAGTTAAAATTAAACTTTTACCCAATCATATCTTGTCACATAATATTATATGAGAAATGTTGTATAAAATAATGTATTTGTAGTATTTTATAGACCCTCACTTTTACTTATAACATTTTTTATACAATATTTTCATACAATATTATGTGGCAAGATATGATTGACTAATTTAAAATTAATAAATTTTTATCTAATTATATCTATCAAATAATATTATATATGAGAAAGTTGTATAAAAATATGATTTTAGTATTATTATAATGATGTATTTGTAGTGTTATTATAGACCCTCGTTTTAGCTTACATGTGAAAAAATTCTCGGGAAAAGCAAGGTGTAACGCAGTATTGGAATAAATGAATGGCCTGATAACGACAGATCATCAGCTTGACCTGTCTTTCATGGTCCCGACCAACCCAGGAGACCTGACTTTTTACTCTTTAATAATAAAGATGACTTCAAGCCAAAGCAGGTCTAAATGCTGTCTCAATAGCGTGTCAATCTCAGAATCCAGAAACCACATAAATATGCATTAAAGTGAAACCGTGTTCGAAATCTCTGGATTCATTTAACATCATCATCTTCTTCATCCTCTATTTAATCACAAACAACGACATCACATTACAACAACTACCAAATCCAGCTGTTATCTTTGTCTCTCTTTCACACTCTCTTTTCTAGTTTCTAGTTTTCAGCTTCCTTGTCTTCAATGGCATTTAAGCCTCCTTTTTGGGCCAAGCTTCTAACTGAGACTGGTTAGTGCTTGTAAGTTTGAAACCCTTTTATTCCTTCTGGTTTTATTTCTGGGTTTAGATTGCCGGTATGAAGTTTTTTTTGTGCCATTTCTTGCTGTTATTAGCTTCTCTGCGTCTTTGCATGCTGTGTTTTTGTTGAATAGTGATGGGGTGGCTCTGTTGTCACTCTTCAGGCAATGGACCTCTATGCCATCTTCCTTAAGTTCGAGTTGGAATAGTTCAGATTCTACCATGTAAATGGGTTGGTATAGAATGTGATAGTAAGAATAATGTTGTCTCTTTTAACCTCACGGGTTATGCAATTTCTGGTCAGCTTGGACTCGAAATTGGTCACTTGGACAGTTGGAGACTATTGATTTGAGTACTAATGATTTCTTTGGTAATATACCAGAAGAACTAGGCAATTGTAGTGCACTTAAGAACTTTGATTTGTCTTCTAATAGATTCACTGGTCAAATACCTGGTAACTTCAAGTACTTGCAAAATTGGGGTTCTTGAGTTTGTTAGCAATTCGTTAGATGGTGAAATACCCGAATCGTTGTTTCGAATTCCAGGTTTGCAGGTTGTGTACTTGAATGATAACAATTTCAATGGTTCAATTCCTAGGAATGTCGGTGACTTGAGTGAGGTTGTGACCTTGTGGTTAAATGGAAATAGGTTATCTATACCATTCCAGAGTCTATGGGAATTGTAGTAAATTGCAAGACTTATTTGATGATAACAATCTAGTGGGTGTTTGCCAGAGAGTCTAAACATCTTGAAAACCTTGCTTATTTAGATGTTAGCAATAACAGTCTTATTGGTAGCATCCGTTTAGGTTCTGGCAACTGCAAGATTTTGATACTTTGGTTTTGTCATTTAACAATTTTAGTGCGGAGATTCCACCAGGTTTGGCAATTGTAGTAGCTTAACAACTCTAGCTATTGTGGGTAGCAACTTAACAGGCACTATCCCATCTTCCTTTGGCCTACTAGATAAGCTTTCTTATCTTGACCTTTGTGAAATCATTTGCCGGGAAAATTCCACCAGAATTAGGGCAGTGTAAGTCCTTAGAAACTTTGAGGTTATACACAAACCAACTTGAAGGTAAAATTCCAGATGAGCTAGGGATGCTGAGTAATTTACAGGATCTTGAACTTTTTTCCAACAATCTAACCGGTGAGATTCCACTTAGCATTTGGAAAATTTCTAGGCTTGAGAATCTTCTTGTGTATAGTAACTCCTTTCTGGGAGCTACCTTCAGAGTTGTCTCACCTCACTATCGAAGAACATTTCATTGTATAATAATCAGTTCTCTGGGGTCATACCTCAAAGCTCGGGATCAACAGCAGCTTAGTGCAGGTAGAGTTTACCAATAAAAGTTCACTGGTGAATCCACCAAACCTTTGCTTGGAAAGCAATTAAGAGTTCTTATATGGGTCTCAATCAATTTCATGGCCGCATTCCTTCTGACTCGGTAGTTGTTCGACTCTCAAGAGACTTATCCTCAGAGAATCGCTCACAGGGGTTCTCCCTGAATTTTCCAAAAATCCGGTTCTCTTTCATCTGGATATCAGTAAAAATAACATCACAGGTGCTATTCCAGTGAGCTTGCGAACTGCACTAATGTTGCTTCAATTGATCTTTCTGGGAACAAGCTTACAGGCTTATACCTCCAGAGCTGGGAAACCTCGTAAATCTTAGAAGTTGAATCTGTCACACAACCATTTGGAAGGTGTTTTGCCACCTCAGTCTCACATTGTGGAAAACTAGAAATTTTGGATGTGGGATTCAATTCATTGAACGGCTCCATTCCTCCAGTTTGAGCAGCTGCAAAAGTCTGTCCACTTTGAGTTTAAGAGAAAACCACTTTAGTGGGGGATTCCACATTTTTACCGGAACTGGAGAATCTTAAAGAGCTACAAATTGGCGGTAATCGGTTGGGAGTGAGATTCCATCATCAATTGGAGGTTTACAGAGTCTTCAATATGTGCTGAATCTCAGCAATAATGGTTTGACAGGTCAAATTCCTCAGAGTTGGGAATTTGATGTATCTAGAACAACTGGATATATCTACAACAACACCTGACAGGAACATTGGCTCCCCTCAGTAAAATCCAAACCTTAATGGAGGTCAATGTTTCATACAATCTCTTCACAGGTCCAATACCAGAGTCTGATTAAGTTGCCAGACTCATCCCATCACTTTCTTGGGCAATCCCGTCTTTGTGTCAATTGTCTTTCATCAGGTAGCTTAACTTGTTTTGGGAATAGTTCTTGAAGCCTTGTTATCATCATTCAAGCGGTCTGAAGGCCTTAGTAAATGCAATTGTTTTAATTGTCCTTGGAGCCTCACTGTCTCTTGTTTTCGTGCTGCTTGGACTGGTTTGTCTGTTTCTATTGCAAAGAAGGTCAAAGCAAGAACTTGAGATCTCTGCTGAAGAGGGGCCATCTTCCCTACTCAACAAAGTCATGAAGGCTACTGAGAATCTGAATGACCGGTATGTTATTGGAAGGGAGCTCATGGAGTTTTTACAAGGCGTTGTTGGGTCCGAACAAAGTTTTTGCTCTTAAGAAGCTTGTATTTGGAGGGCACAAGGCAGGACGCATGAGTATGATTAGAGAAATTGAAACTGTTGGGAAAGTTAGGCACCGCAATCTGGTAAGATTGGAAGAGTTTTGGTTGAGGAAGGACTGTGGTTTAGTAAGTACAGGTACTGGAGAATGGGAGTCTTCATGATGTCTTACATGCAACCAATCAGTCGCCAATTTTAGAATGGAATGTTCGCTATAAGATAGCAATCGGAATAGCCCATGGATTGGCTTATCTCCATCATGACTGTGATCCTGCTATGTGCACACGAGACATCAAGCCACAGAATATACTTTTAGACTCTGAGATGGAGCCTCATATACTGATTTCGGAATTGCTAAGCTCCTGGACCAGTCTCCTTCTTCAACATCATCAATCTTTGTTCCGGGGACAGTTGGTTACATTGCACCAGGTACTTCTTCTACATTCATTCTAGTTTCGGATTATCCTGTATCAAATCTCTTACATCAAATTTTATGACAGAAAATGCATTTACGACTAAAAAGAGCAGGGAGTCTGATGTATATAGTTACGGGTTGTTTTACTTGAACTGATAACGAGAAGAAAACCAATGGATATAGATATTGTGGGGTGGGTTAGTTCTGTCTGAGTAACACCAAAGAAATCAATCATATTGTTGATTCAAGCCTTAAGGAGGAATTTCTGGATTCAAATATCCGGAACAAGTTATTGGCCGCTTTCGGTAGCTTTGATGTACCACAAGGAGCCAAACAACAGACCTGATATGAGACAGTTGTCAAACGATTATCGAACATGAACATGAACATAACCCCCCAACGACACAAATGCAGCTAGGTCTTTACTCTTTAGAGTTTCTAACTCGGTCTTGTTAGAGGACCTAGCTAATACAGTCTAGCTTTTTATTATGTTCTACATCATAAATGCTGTACTTCAGATTTGATGGAACAGAAATAAAACTCTTCTTCCTCTACTTTACAGCAAAATATGCTAGTACAAGTATGTATCTCCCAGAAAAAAACTGGTCATCTATTAATCAGGCATCGGTATATTTATAATGGCTGACTGAGTTAGTTAGTTACTAACTGCTATATATGTCAACAATACACACGGCTTTGTATATTCAAAATGGTGTCAACACATTGCCAAGAACAGAATGACTTACAGGCATTGGATTCGGCGCTTAGAAGAATACCAGACTTCACCCATCATTGTAAAGATATACAAAATTTGAAATAAAGTGATCAGCATTTACAAACAGAAAAGAATTCCTAATTTTTGTATCATACAAGCATCAGCCATCAACCAATAGAATTTCAGGTGATGCTTTAAAATTTGAGAAGTGTGGAAAAAAAAGAAAGAAATTTGAACCCTAAGAAAAGGAAAAAAGAAAAAGGTGTCCTAATATGAATACAATGACTCACTTGCAAATCAATGGCAGACTGTCGGCTGTCTAATATACAGAGAAATATACATGAATTAGGAACTCCCATGGGATCTTACGGATGAAATCGACTGTGCTGAGACAGAGGCAGTTGGGCTGTTAAGCTCCTTGGGCTTTCCACTTAACCTTTCCATTGCTTCTTGGCAAATGTCATTAAACCAATCATCTTCTGGCAGCACACTGATGACAAATTAAATAAAATCTCAGTCAGCCTCAAAGAGAGATATTTTATGAATGCTGCATCTCAATATACCAAAATGCCAATGCCAATATACACTTTCCGAATTTCTTTTACTCCATTTGATTTATTCAAAATCAAAGGGAAAAAGTACGAAAGAATCATGTGGCAAAATCAAAGTTATGCCTCATAGCATCAAAGGAAGTTGTTCGAACTTAAGCTTAAGATAAGGCCATTTCAAAATCCATATAAATAAACATGGAAGTATCTAGCATTATAAAAAAATTCATTGATGATTTGCAATTTGATACTGCACAACTTGGATAACCAAAGTGAAGTTGACAATAATGTATAACAGTGTGTGATCCCAGACCAAAGATAGCCACAATAAAAGGTCAAAAGAAACATTGGTTGTTGTAATTCAACAGGATGCAGTCAATTCATTGCTAATATTGATGTCACAACAATGAAATGGCTAGAGAAAAACTTTTAAAAATCTACAAACAGTGCATCAACGCTTATTCATAGCTAGAAGAAAAATTAATCTAAAAGGGCAAAGAGCTAGGTCACCAAAATGGAATACTTATAATGCAGGAGACACATTAAAGCCGATGCTAAGGGGTGACTTCCAACGTTAATGCAGTATGGACTATGAAGATAACAGTCACAGATGTAGATATTTTAGGTTTGAGAAACATGGATGTTTCAAGGAATGATAAATGGGTGAACAAAAAAGGCTAAGCAATCGTGCTTCCGATAAATAAGAAGATCCACAACAGAGCTAATTGAAGTTCAATTTCATCTTGCTCCAAAGGTTACTTAGATTTTAAAAGTTGTTTGGCAAAGAAGAATAGACTAGCTCGTATAAAAGCTAAAAAGGGTTTAGATCAACTTCAGATATTCTGAATTCCCGATTATATGAAGGCTTTTTTATCCTTTAGTTGTTCTCAGAAAAGTGAGGAAAGAAATATCAGGACAAAACAATAGAAGAAATACAATAAAAATTCTTTTCAACATAGATGGAAGGAAGAGAAATAAAATCTGATGTCTTAGTTAATCTGGGTAGGAGGGGAAAAGGCAGAAGAGTGTCAAGGATAGCTGAAGATATCATATGAAATTTTGTAATAAAAACAAACAGACGCAATCAATTCCATCCAAACAAACCCATCTAGCCAGACTGAGCTGGCACACTTATATAAATCACTCTCTGTTTCTTTTAACCTATATCAATCCTATTTTTCTATTGAAAACTACGTCTTTTCTAAAATATCTTATTCCCAAGGATCTCCATGTCAAAATTCAAACCCAGAATCTTCTTACACAATCTTCATTCTCCAATCTAAGCCTTTTCACTTCAATCCTTGTTTTTCTTCATTTAGAATCAGTGTAGGAGACTTCACCACATCATTCAATTTCAGCAATTAATTAACCACTTGCTAGGCAACATTTACCAGGTTCTCACCAGTTTCAAACGATGTTGCTGATTTTGAAAGAATCTACCGTTGGTTGAAGTGGTTCCTCCAGTTATAGTTAGTTGGCATTTGTTGTCTTTATTAAGTGTGACAAAAGAGAGATATACAGAGAGACGAGATCCATTCTAGATTGGTTCCTTTCACCAACCTTTTCTAAGAACCAACAGAAGCTTAAAAAAATGGAAGTGTAGACAAATTGCAGCTCTTCTTAAAATAAGACACATATAACAACAGGATTTCCAAATTCTAAAATAGGACTCAACTACAGAACTAGATGTATGAAAAAGATAGGAGCTACTAACCCCATAATTAATATAACTGGACAATTTAATATTTCACTAAGCAGTGCCCCCATTAAAATTAGAATATCAGAAATACATCCAAACTTCCCATTTTCTTCCCTTCAAATATCAACATCATTTTGATAAAACTTAAAGAGTGATGAAGAGAAAAACAAATGGAAATAAGCCAGTCATTTGCCTTCCAAGTATCACGTAGCAGGTTTCATGAGGACAACTACATCAAGACAACCTAATCCTAAAGTAGACCAAACATCACATCAAGAGAACCCGCTTCAAAAATGCTAGTTGTAGGTCAAAGATACCTCACACAATGGCAAACTAAAAGTTTGGTGACTATCACATTTGAAATTACACCACAGTCCAATTTTTCAATGTTGTAATTACTTTGAGGTTGAAATATTCACATGTAACTAATCCATGAACTCATATATATCACAAATTTCTAGTTACAGTCCTAGGGGATAACTAAACAATGCGTATCAACTGCTTTTTACCTCTGAGGAGAAAGTTTAAAATCGAACTTTGGAAAAATACATGTATAATATAAATGTATCCAAATGCATAATAATTACGATTATATAAGAAAAATGAGACTGATTTCCAAAAGAAACTACATCATTTACCTATAGGGGTCCATGCCTGTAGCAGCAAATGCTGCAATGGCTTTAGATATGATCTCATTGACAACTCTATGCAAATTCCGCGACAAGTAGCGACCTTGAGAAGCAAAGCATATGACAAACTTCATATCGAGACAGAACTGCACATATGACAATAAGTAAATAGTTTATTACAAAAACTCAGTAGAGCCACAGAAATTACAAACAGGTGGATGCCAGATTTTCATACTTGTTGAAGACCAAGAGGTCCTAAAGGCCTTGGCCCTTCCTCAATATCATCCCAAAAGCTTTGGTCATTTGAAAGCCATAAGATGACAGTGTCTGTCAGTCTCATCAATAGTAGCGTTGCAAATCTTTCCCTTCCTACAAACATATCTGCTGCTATACTAGCCATCCTGTTTAGTTTTACATAAAGTTCCTGCATCGTAGAAGAATAACTCAGAACTGCACTGGGGAAAAACTTCATCGTAGAACAATTTTACAAAGAGCACAACTTTAAGAAAACTAATACAGTCCAGAGTCATACAAATAGATTCCTGCATACGTAAATACACAATTGAGAGAAGGGGGAAGGGGGGGTGTTATCTAACAGCCCCGTTCAATCCCAATAAGAAGTGTATATATATATTTGAATGTGTACGGGGAGAGATTTTATATAATAGCCCAGTTCAATCCCAATAATAAGTACAGCTGCATCAGGATAGTGTCAGAATAAGATTTCCTACCATTGCAGAAGATACAAATTTCCAAAGATCACTACTTTAAAAAGAAAACTAGGTAATCTTAGCAGTTTGCCATAAATTTTTCTTTCCTGGGAAATAAATTAATGCAAATTTGAATTCTTGGAATAAATTTCGATTTAAATAGAATTTAGACAGCATCTTAACACATGGGACCAAAAAAAAAAAAAAATTGGTAAAGCCTATAATACTTCTTTTAAGCTTGCTATTTTGTATAATTTAACTTAATTTAGCAAGTCATTATCCAATTAAACAGGATCATTAAGTCATTATGCATAGTGAATTCAAACTTTATGAATAAAAGAGCATTTAATATCTTGTAAAGGAGACAGCAATTTGTCACTGGAGAGAATGATTCCCAGACAAACAAAAGTATGTATTTTATAAAAATATATAAATCTGAAATGTAAAAGTCAAAAAATAAAAACAATATAAATATCCCAGATGCCTTTTCTTTAGAAGACTAGCAACAATATGAGGCAGGCAAAATATTGTGAGATAACCACTACAAAAAAAAAAATTTACCTGGAATATTGGAGATGGAAACCATTCCAATTCATCCACATTTCCATCCATGTTTATATACATGTCAGCACTGAGATGGCTATCACCATCTTCGGTAAAAATGAGATCTAGAGCATGCTGTCGACAGAAAGTATCTTTTAATCTATCCACTGAGTTCACAAGCCGCCTCTTCCATTCTCGTTGCTCAGGGTGACGATTTTGCCTGTCTGAAGTTCTTCTATGAGTGTCATCCCTGTAATTTGCTTGATGCAGAGGGGAGAGTTTCATGGCTGCACGTGGTAATAGTTCATCTGCTAGTACTGATGCATTGGCATATAACGCAATCTGCTGATCTTCAGTTTCAGCCATTCGCACAATTTTATTTCCTGAACCTTCAAAATTTGCTTCTTCTTCCATTGATCCAGGTAATGCCTTAATAAGCATGCTCACATACGAGTTAAATACATGGAATAGGCCTTCCAACGTTTGACCTCCCAACTGCATACTTAAAAGTGGTCCTACATCCTCAAAGAAATCCTGTAAAAACAGATGATACAGGCATCAAGCAAACATAAGATTAGACAACCACTACTGGAGAAGTCAAATGAGAAGAAAATCCATTAAACATCAATCAACCAATCCAAAAACTTTTCAAGAAATATATGACCTTCAATAATTAGGGTGACAACATCCAATAATCAAAGGTATTAAAGATAAATAAACTGGTGGTAGTCAATTCTCATTAAAGAAAACCACTGGTTTTAAATGAATATTTGCTTCTGGTATACCAAGGTACAATTGAAGGTATACAATGTTTAGGCATAATGCATGCAACATGTAAAAAACACATCTTCCTATCCTTACAAGTTCAAAGATTGTTATAAGAGAACAAAAAAGAAGCAAATAGAAAATAAAAAGGGAAATTGGGAGGAACTAATAGATACATATAATAAGTAAAATGACTTGTCCATTATCTCTACAAGTAACTTCCAACTAAAAATCAGTCACTCAAACAGGGCAGTTTCAAATGCCACACTAAGAAAGAATATACGACAAAATTTATTCACACACCCACATTTCGGAGATAAACAAAAAATTCAAGCCAAAACTTGCAACAGAGAGATCTTAATTTTTTATTAAACGAAGGAGAAAAGAAAGAAGGTTCTTGTGTCTAAAAGGGAAGTTACTATCACAAGCTTCTATCAATATCCTGGAACATCTACTCATAGAGCATACCTAGCATATGCCTAAGAACTAACAAGACAAATAAATCATGTACATTTTGAGCGCATGTAGAGAGAGATAAAAAGACAAAGGGGGAGGGAAAGGTAGGATGCATGGAGACAGTGATTCTACATTTTAGAGTCAAATATATGTGGGAAAAAAATTGCTCACCTGGACCATCAAATTGAACCGATGAGCACTACTAGTAAGCTTATGTTGCACTGCACTACCAAGGGATCCAGTGGAAGACCTTCCAGATTGACGCGTACCTGTTGGATGCAAGGTGAGCACCCAATCATCAGCAGCTGCCAAAGCAGCAGTGCTCTCCTCAATTCGTCTTAAATTAGCATCTAATGCTTGTTCAACACTAGGCCTAAAGAGTTTTAAGAGCACTGGACAAAGAGCCAAGCCACGAGCCTCCAACAGAGAACAATGACCTAAAGCTATTTGAACACACTCTGCGGCAGCTCTTAATCCACCAGCAGCCGCCGAAGAAGCTAAGGCATGTCTTTTTACAAGAAGAGCAAAAGCTTCTGTCTGTTTTGTAGCCCACATCACAAGCTCAGAGGTATAAGCACGCTCCTTACCAAAAATAGCCAACGAATCACTAGCAGCTTGAGCAATAGCGGAGAATACCAACTGTGAGAGGGCAGCAGTATATGCTCCTCCATATGAGGTGTTTGATGGACGAAGGCTTTGCATGTTATACTGATATCTCTGGTAATGTGCATTGAGTAGTAAACTATGAGCACGAGGGCCATCACCAAGCTTTTTAAGAGCTGATATGGCTGCACGAAGTTCAGCACCACGAGTGGAAGGTTGGCAAGCAGCTTCAGCAAGCTGATCAGCTAACCTTTGCCTGCGTTCAATGATAGCATTCTGTACACTCTGTAAAGACTGAATCACAGCAGGGTCCAAAGTTTGATTTTGCTTTGCTTCAGCAACCAATCTTTCTCCTTCATCAAGAGCTGCAAGAGCTTCATCGACTCTCCTCTCAGCTAACAATACGTCAAGGAGATCAGGGAATTCTACTGACCATTTTTCTATGTCAGAAGATCCTCTATTTTCAAGATTTGACAAATCACCATTTGAATCAGAAACTTTGACAGATAAGGAATCAATGTGAACTCCCTCAGCTAAACCATGAATTAAAGTAGCTTGAGTAGATAACAGGTTTCTGATGGACGAAAGCTCCCCCTCTAAATCTGATATCTCTTTTGATGTTCTGTTAGATAAACATTACTCTTGAAATCAAAAAACACAAATTAATTAATCATACCCCCACCATTCTCATAAATTATTTAAACATGCCATAAACATAAAATCGGTGGTTGTAGCAACACATATAGTGAAAAACCAAAAAAAGAAGAAGAAGAAGAAGCTCAGCAAGCTTTTAAACTGTGATAAACTAATCAGCCACTGAATAACTGCTCTAAAAAAGTTAAACAGAATTCACTTCCTCAGAGATTCATCTGTGTTTGAAAAGTTATAAGATCTTACCATCCACTAATGCTAGAGAATTCACCGCTAAACTCAATGCACAAACATAACTCAAATAAAACCCAAACATTCCCAGTAATTTCAACAGGAAATAAATCAACACTGACCGAATGAAGGCCGCATAATTAGCGTATACACTTCTACGCATTTCTTCAGCAGAAGCTTTCTTCAAATCCAGAAGATACGAACATAATTGCTTTATTTCCTATTTCACAATAAAACAAAAACAAACTCTCACTTCTAAACTCGCAACAACGCGAAAAAGAAAAAACGCAATTCCACAACAAAAGAATATAATTGCCGGTATTGTTACCGGAGTTCACATCAATTCGGTAACTATAATAACAATAAGTATAATATCCTAATGCATGATTTATACGGCAGATTAAAGAAACGAAAGGACAAACCTTTTCATTGAGAGAGCACTTAGACTTGACATAGACATCGGCATCGAATTTGTCCGACTTGAACAAGTTCAAACCTTCCTCGACTTTGGCGGCGCCGTTTTCCTTCGCCGGCGCCGCCCGCGATCGAGCCGTCTTGGTTGCTGACATGTTGCAGTGAAATCAATCGGCGGATCAGGCGAAGATGAAGATCAGAATCCAAGGTAGATCTGAGCGAGAATATAGAGAGAGAGAGAGAGAGAGAGAGGTGGTGGTGTCGTTGCTGTTGGTAGAAAGAACAGAGGAGTTGTTGGCGTGGGCAAGCACAGCACGACTCTCTTTGCTTCCAATAATTTTCTTTTCTTTCCTTTCCTCGCTGGATTTACTCGAGCGTGCTTGGTGAATTATTTCTTCCTTGAGGTTTGGCCAAAGTATGGAAGGTCCAGTAGAATCTGATAGTAACATTTAGGTCCTTGTAAGCCTGAAAGGAACCAGCCTTTTAAAATTGTTTTTTAAAAGTCTAAGGTACCCCCAATCTAAATTAATAGAATTAAAATAAAAATAAACGGCTGCTAAATAAGAATTATGGTAAAAATTTAGAACAATTCTATTAATTATATGAAAATAAAAATTAACAGATTAAAGATATTTAATGTTTACAAAAAAAAAAAAAAAAAAAATTAAAAAAATTGATGCTGATAAGAATCTAAATGTCATTATTATATTCTACTGGACAGATTATACTTCAGGGGTTAAAAAAATTAACTCTTTGTCTGGTTGACTGTCAACTTACTTGCTACTAAGCATTTGGTGAAAGCGGTAAACTACCGTTATTTGCGTTTCTAACAGTGATTATGGGGAATATCATTAATACCCCTATTGTTTTCACAATACAATCCATACTTTTGTAATTTTAATAAATCACATCCCCATTTGTTTTCGAAATGATTCAAAAACTACCCTCAAAAGTCAAATCTCAATTTTAATTCCGTAAGTCTTTTTTATTATATGAAATTTTTAAATAACTAAATTACCTTAATTGTAAAATAATTTTTAAGAATGCGATCAAATGTTGACAAATATTGGTTTCTTTCAAACAAAGCATAATAATTGTTTTATTTTTATTTTATTAGTCTGCTTTTCCTTTTGGAATGAGAATGAAAATAATATTCAACTAAATTATCATCAAAATGATCCTAGCACTTTGAATTTTATACATTTTCTTTACTCTACTATTAGCAAATGTCCTACTAGCAACTTTTAACCTTATTTAGGTTAACCCCATCATTTTCTTCCCACTCTACTCCAAACACAAATAATTAGATTTACCAATCACCACTGAATGACCTAATAGTAAAAGAAAGTTCCACGAGCTTCTGAGTTTGAGTCCACACAATCACTAATTAAGGTGGTTATTAAGATTCTTACTCGGTTGACAATTCTAAAGCTTCAGAGAATTAGTTGAAGTATGCACAGATTAGTTCGGACATCCTCGATAATTAAAAAAAAAAAAAAAAGATTTACCACACCTTTTCACCACCGCCAAATTGAAATTTTCAAACTCCATTCTCAAAGCCCAAACACAACACCTATAACCATTATCACTAATAGACCCACCGCCATCAATACAATGAATTAGTAGTCGGACCAAATCCAATGTGACAAAACACAAGCCTCCTTAATGCCTAAGGAAAAGTGTTGTTGACAATGGCTAATGGTGTTGGTGGGTGGCTTTAGGCTCTCGTTAGTTTCTTATGGATTTCTATTTGTTGAGAATTTTAATGGGTTCTATTCTTCATAAATGAGTAAGGATGTAAAAAACCCAACCTAACCCTATTTAAGTCGTGGTCAGGCCAACGGACTCAGACTGTGCTCAATCCCACTTGGGCAAATTCATACTTGAGCTTGAGCATTGAAAATCAGGCCTAAGGTATACTTGAGTCCTGCCTCCTGAGTTGAGCCTGAGATTTGGTAAGGTTGGATTAGGCCAAGGTATATTATATGAAATTTTACCCCTAAAAAACAACATCAACAGTTGCTATGAAGTAAAATTATATCCAGAAACCACATAAAAATATGCATTAAAGTGAAACCGTGTTCGAAATATCTTGGATTATTAACATCATCCTCTTCTTCATCTCTATTTAATCACAAACAACACACCATTACAACAACTACCAAATCCTGCTGTTATCTTTGTGTCTCTCTTCACACTCTCTTTCTAGTTTCTAGTTTTCATCTTCCTGTCTTCAATGGCATTTAAGCCTCCTTTTTGGGCCAAGCTTCTAACAGACAATGGTTAGTGCTTGTAAGTTTGAAACCATTTATTCCTTCTGGTTTTATTTCTGGGTTAGATTGCCGGTAGCAGTTTTTGTGTGGCCATTTCTTGCTGTTATTTAGCTTCTCTGCGTCTTTGCATGTGTGTTGTTTGAATAGTGATGGGGTGGCTCTGTTGTCACTTTCAGGCAATGGACCTCTGTGCCATCTTCCTTAAGTTCGAGTTGGAATAGTTCAGAACACTCCATGTAAATGGGTTGGTATAGAATGTGATAGTAAAAATAATGTTGTCTCTTTTAACCTCACGGGTTATGCAATTTCTGGTCAGCTTGGACCTGAAATTGGTCACTTGAGACAGTTGGAGACTATTTTTGAGTACTAATGATTCTTTTGGTAATATACCAGAAGAACTAGGCAATTGTAGTGCACTTAAGAACTTGATTTGTCTTCTATAGATCACTGGTCAAATACCTGGTAACTTCAAGTACTTGCAAAATTTGGGGTTCTTGAGTTTGTTTAGCAATTCGTGTTAGATGGAAATACCCGAATCGTTGTTTCGAATTCCAGGTTTGCAGGTTGGTACTTGAATGATAACAATTTCAAGGTTCAATTCCTAGGAATGTCGGTGACTTGAGTGAGGTTGTGCCTTGTGGTTAAATGGAAATAGGTTATCTGATACCATCCAGAGTCTATTGGGAATGTAGTAAATTGCAAGAGCTTTATTTGAATGATAACAATCTAGTGGGTGTTTTGCCGGAGAGTCTAAACAATCTTGAAACAGGCTTATTTAGATGTTAGCAATAACAGTCTTATTGGTAGCATCCGTTTAGGTTCTGGCAACTGCAAGAATTTTGATACTTTGTTGTCATTAACAACTTTAGTGGGGAGATTCCACCCGGTTTGGGCAATTGTAGTAGCTTAACAACTCTAGCTATTGTGCGTAGCAACTTAACAGGCACTATCCCATCTTCCTTGGCTACTAGATAAGCTTTCTATCTTGACCTTTGTGAAAATCATTGTCCGGGAAAATTCCACCAGAATTAGGGGAGTGTAAGTCCTTAGAAACTTTGAGGTTATACACAAAAACCTTGAAGGTATAATTCCAGATGAGCTAGGGATGCTGAGTAATTTACAGGATCTTGAACTGTTTTCCAACAATCTAACGGTGAGATTCCGTTAGCATTTGGAAAATTTCTAGGCTTGAGAATCTTCTGTGTATAATAACTCTCTTTCTGGGGAGCTACCTTCAGAGTTGTCTCAACTCACAATTCTGAGAACATTTCATTGTATAATAACGTTCTCTGGGGTCACCTACACAAGTCTTGGGATCAACAGCAGCTTAGGCAGGTAGAGTTTACCAATAATAAGTTCACTGGTGAAATCCACCAAACCTTTGCTTTGGAAAGCATTAAGAGTTTTAATAGGGTCTCAATCAATTTCATGGCCGCATTCCTTCTGACGTCGGTAGTGTGTTCGACTCTCAAGAGAATTATCCTGAAAGAGAATCGCTTCACAGGGGTTCTCCGAATTTTCCAAAATCCGGTTCTCTTTCACCTGGATATCAGTAAAAATAACATCACAGGTGCTATTCCAGTGAGTCTGGCGAACTGCACTAATGTGCTTCAATGTTCTTTCTGGGAACAAGCTTACAGGGCTATACCCAGAGCTGGGAAACCTAGTAAATCGAGAAGTTGAATCTGTACACAACCATTTGGTAAGTTTTGCCACCCTCAGCTATCACATTGTGGAAAACTAGAAATTTTGGATGTGGGATTCAATCATTGAACGGTTCCATTCCATCCAGTTTGAGCGCTGCAAAAGTCTGTCCACTTTGAGTTTAAGAGAAAACCACTTTAGTGGGGGGATTCCAACTTTTTTACCGGAATTGGAGAATCTTAAAGAGCTGCAAATCGGCGGTAATCGGTTGGGAGGCAAGATTCCATCACAATTGGGGTTTACAGAGTCTTCAATATGTGCTGAATCTCAGCAATAATGGTTTGACAGGTCAAATTCCTTCAGAGTTGGGGAATTGATGTATCTAGAACAATGGATATACTAACAACAACCTGACAGGAACATTGGCTCCCCTCAGTAAAATCCAATCTTAATGGAGGTCAATGTTTCATACAATCTTCACAGGTCCATACCAGAGTCACTGATTAAGTTGCCAGACTCATCTACATCATCTTTCTTGGGCATCCCAGTCTTTGTGTCAATGTCTTTCATAGGTAGCTTAACTTGTTTGGAATAGTTACCTGAAGCCTTGTGATCATGTTCAACCAATCTGAGAGGCCTTAGTAAAATTGCAATTGTTTTATTGTCCTCGGAGCCTCACTGTCTCTTGTTTTCGTGTTGCTTGGACTGGTTGTCTGTTTCTATTGCGAAGAAGGTCGAAGCAAGAACTTGAGATCTCTGCTGAAGAGGGGCCATCTTCCCTACTCAACAAAGTCATGAAGGCATGAGAATCTGAATGACGGTATGTTATTGGGAAAGGAGCTCCTGGAGTTGTTTACAAGGGTCGTTGGGTCCGAACAAAGTTTTTGCTCTTAAGAAGCTTGTATTTGGAGGGCACAAGGCAGGAAGCATGAGTATGATTAGAGAAATTGAAACTGTTGGGAAAGTTAGGCCGCAATCTGGTAAGATTGGAAGAGTTTTGGTTAAGGAAGGACTGTGGGTTAGTATGTACAGGTACATGGAGAATGGAGTCTTCATGAGTGCTTACATGCAACCAATCAGTCGCCAATTTTAGAATGGAATGTTTGCTATAAGATAGCAATCGGAATGCCATGGATTGGCTTACCTCATCATGACTGTGATCTGCTATAGTACACCGAGACATCAAGCCACAGAATATACTTTTAGACTCTGAGATGGAGCTCATATATCTGATTTCGGAATTGCTAAGCTCCTGGACCAGTTCCTTCTTCAACATCATCAATCTTTGTTCGGGGACAGTTGGTACAATTGCACAGGTACTTCTTCTACATTCATTCTAGTTTCGGAGTTATCCTGTATCAAATCTCTTAACACAAATTTTAGAAAGAAAATGCATTTACGACTAAAAAGAGCAGGGAGTCTGATGTATAT